CTCAAGCAATCGGGTGTTTAGATGTCCACATACCATATCCGGGTCCGGCTATCCTCGGCAACAGCAATTTCGTTCCATACGAGGGAATTAAGCGCTGTCCCGAGGACCGAGGGACGTGCAATTAGAGAAATTTGGGATGATTGTCCCCAATCCCTCTCACACATAGTTGGATTATCATGAAACTTACGCATGCAATGCCTTGTTGTGTACCATACATGATGGCATCGTCCGATATGGGCTGCACAGGTAGGGGATGGTTTGGGATGAGCGACAACATTTGACTGTCCCGAGGACCCGTGTATGACTGTAGCTGGTCTCCCTTATAGGCCAAACATACAGTCTTTAACTGGTCCTTCGGACACCCATGGGTCCCTCGGACGCTCCCTCAATCCTGTGCTCCCCTTGACTTCCTCTTCAATTCCATGTATCTCAATGTCATCCTACAGCATATAATACACTAGATCTTGATTTTCGTGTCTCCCCGTTGTCTGCACAATAATATAAGTTGTCATCTTCACCTGAGATCTGCCATTTTTGGGTTGTTTTGGCTTTCATAAGCGAAGTCGTTGCTGCCGTCTCTCCATATTGACAAGGTATGTCAAGTGGTATCCTCAAATGACACCGCTGGAATTTATATGCTTATCGGGCTCAAAATGTGCTCACTGATGTCGCGATCTTATGAGTGACTCGAGGAGACATTTGCCAAATTAAGCGCTCAGTCACACCTTCTAAATCTGGTTTGGCCGTACTGAACGTCCGCTAAGACTGGACAAGCGCTCTAGCAGCGTAGACCAATTAATCAGATATCGTTGCCCTACTTCACCATCCACCATGCCCAGTCGTCGCGCACTATCCAAGACAAGGAAGGCTCAGATCAATGCCGAATTTCATGAAGAATGGGTCACCATCGCAGCCAACTGGTACACAGAAGAGCAGCAGTCTGGGAAGAAGAAGCCGAAGGGCGTGAGAGCAATCTGCAAGGAAGTGGAGAAGGAGTGCTACGAGAAGACCGGAACATCCATTAAGCTGCCAAAAAGCACTGTCTCCGATCGAGCCAGTGGCAAGCCCAGCATCCGAGACTTCAACGCGGAGAAGAGGTGGCTACAGGCGGATGAGGAGGAGGAAGTCATCGACTTCGCTATCAATGCTGTGCTCCGAGGGTTCCCGCTCAATCACTGACGTTTGCGGGAGCATGTCAACCGGATATGTTGGGCACGAGAAGCACCAGGCTTCCCTGAAGATGGCGTGGGTCAGGAATGGACAACGTGGTTCGTTGAGCACCATTTAGAGGAACTGAAGCTGTACTGGTCCCATTCTCTCGATAGCTCCCACGCACGTGCAGTCAATCCCCACATTTGATCTCCTTGAAAAGACGATCAAGGGCGAGGAGGGTGAGGAGGAGATCAGCCCAGACTGTATCTACGGTGTGGACGAGACTGGGATCCAGGAGGGTGTCGGCTTGAAGGAGAGAGTACTCGGACCTGCTGGACAGAAGGTCCAGTACCAACAATGCAGTGGTGAGTGAGAGAACATCACTGTCATTGTTACGATCTGCGCCGATGGTACCTCGATTCCACCTGCCGTAATCTTCAAGGGACAGGCCTTTCACACGAAGTGGAAGTAGAACAACCCGCTCAAGGCCGTGTAAGTGAGATAACTATAATTTTTCTACGCCATGCTAACACAGCAAAGCCTTGGTCATTTGCCAAAGGGCTATGTAGATGGCGAGATCAGGATTGAGTGGATCAAAAACTTCAACAAGCACATGAAGGAGAAAGCTGCAGGGAGACGTCGCCTCCTCCTCGTAGATGGTCATGCATCACACTACACCTTTGGGTTCCTTGATTACGCCCAAAAGAACAACATACTTGTCCTCTGTTACCCCTCCCACTCGACACATGTCTATCAGGGCCTTGACATCGTCATCTTCGGAGTCTTGAAGCGCTCTTGGACGAAGGCACGCGACAATTACGAGAGGACAATCGGAGTTGTCAATAAAACAAATTTCCTCGAAGTCTACGCTACAGCACATGTCGAAGCCCTCACCGTAGCAAACATCAACACCACGTTCAAGAAGACAGGGGTTGTCCCATTGAACCACGATGTGATCACGCTGCAGGCTATGACCCCCAGTCTCGAGTCCTCTGTCTGCGGCAGCCTGCCATTCCCTCCCCAAACAAGCCCTGTCTGAGCGGTGGCCAGACTACTCTCTGACGTGGTCGCTGCCCGTGCATCCTCCTCAAAAACTATCAATCTCCCTGTTCTAGCCTCTAAGCCCCCTCGTACCCCGTCACGCTCTCAGACAATGGTTGAAGCACTCACCGGAACTTCCGCTGCCTATCTTGTCTCCCCATCACCTATCCCAGTCCACACTACTCCTCCGAGATACCTCTACACCCCAATATCCCCCATAAAGAGGCAGTACACTCACCTGTTAAACTGAGAGCCAACCAGCGTTCTTGAGTCCATGTACCAGGAGGTGCTACGTGAGAGCGAGGCCTGGGACCAGGTGCGGAAGCAGTCTGTGATCAACTTGCAGGTCGCTGTAGTCTTGCAGGGAGGTTACCTCGACGAGGTCCACCAACAGATGCAGGGCCGGAAACAGAAGAAGGCGGGAAAGAAGCCGGGGGGGAAGCTGGTCGGAGATGGCTTACCGCGTCTACTCAACGAGGACGGATTCATTGATGAAGTTTTCAAGCACGAGCAAGCACAGAAGCGGAAGGCAGAGGAGAAAGAGGAGCGTAAGTTGGAGAAGGAGCATCATACGAAGGCACTAGAGAGGTGGAAGGAGGCATGCAAGGCACGAGATGAGCGGGTCAAGGCACAGAAGGAGCAGTATCGCCAGGCCTTGGAGGAGTGGGAGGATGAGCGACAGCTAGCCAAGACAGAGCGGAGGAGGATTGGATGGCAAAAGCCAACACTAGGAGCAGTTGAGAAGAAGCCGGGACAGCCAAAGAAGAGGGCGGCACAGCGGGCAGACGATGTCACGGACGTTGGACAGACGCCCCTTTTTGCCGCCCATTCCCCTCCCCTTGACGCCCACCTTCCATTTTCGGACCATTTCCTTTCTTAGCCCATCCCAGTTTGGACACTGCAGATACGTTCCCACACCCGCATGCTACGTTCCCGTGATCACCATGCCTTTGCCTTTTCCTTCCCGCCCTTTGTTCT